AGAAAGGCCTTACATCAGTAGTAAAGAATAATTACTCTAGACTGAGCACTTCTTTGGACCTGCCTAATAAATCGTAAAACCAAGACCTGAACAAATTAAACTGTTTCCAAGTAACTAACAGCATCCCAGAACAAAGTTCAAGAAGATGTAGAGGAATATAAAAATATCAAGCAGCTGATAGGAATATAAAAATATTGAGACAAGGTAAAATTCACAACGTCTGGGATACAAGCAGAGGTTAGGTAGCAAAGAGGCAGGAAAACAGGAGCAGTGATGACAATAATCATCAAAACCAACCCAGAACTGACACAGATGTTAGAATTAGCAGAGAAGTACATCAAAACAGATATAATTATAACTGTATTTTATATGTACAAAAAGTTAGGTAGATACATGGAAGATATTTTAAAGTACCCAAATCAAACTTCTAGAGATGAGAACAATGTCTGAAACCAAAAACACACTGGATAGGATTGATAGCAATTAGACATTGCAAAAGAAAAGATTAGTGAATTTGAAGGCAAGCAATGGAAACTATGCAAAATGAAGGAGAGAAAAGAAAAAAAAGAATTTTTGATGAAAAGAGTATCGTTGAGCTATCATTGGGTATCAAAGAGCAACCTCCAACGGCCTAAGACTTGAGTAATTGGAGTCTCTGAAAGAGAGAAGAAAGGGAGGCACAGAAAAACACTTGAAGAAATAATGGCCAAAATTTTTCCAAACTTGAGGAAAACTATAACCCACAGATCCAAGAAGCTCAATATACCCCAATCACAAGAAACATGAAGAAAACTACACCAAGACACATCATAATCAAATTGCTCAAAGCCATTGATAAAGGAAAAAATCCAAAAAGCCACCGGTTGGGGCAGAAATGTTACATACAGAGGAACAAAGGTAAGGATGGACATCTGATTTCTCATTGAAAACAGTACAAGTGAGAAGACAGTGGAACAACAGCTTTAAAATATGGAAGGAAAAAACTGTCAACATAAGAACTCTATAGCAAAAATATCTTTCAAAAATGAAGATGGGGCTGGCCTGGTGGCATATTGGTTAAGTTCACTCCACTTTGGCGGCCGAGGGTTTGCTGGTTCAGATCCTGGGCATGGACCTACACACCACTCATCAAGCCATGCTGTGGTGGCATCCCACATAGAAGAACTAGGACTTATAACTATGATATACAACTATATACTGGGGCTGTGGTGAGGGGGAAAAAAAAGAGGAAGATTGGCAACAGATGTTAGCTCAGGGCCAGTCTTCCTCACCAAAAAAGAAGGAAGAAGAAGGAGGCAGCAAAATAAAGACGTTTTCAGACCCCAAAAACCTGGAAGAATTCGTTACCAACCAACTTGCAGTACAAAAAATGTTAAAGGAAATACTTCAAGCAGATTAAAAATGGTACCGTCTGGATCTACACAAAGGAATGAATATCACCAGAAATGGTAACAACGTAAATATAAAGAGGTTTTTTTCTTACTATTTAAAACTGTTTAAAAGATAATTGACGGTACAAACAAAAATAGTAACAGTATATTGTGGAGTTTATAGCATAACATGTAAAAGTAAAATGCATGGCAATAATAGTACAGAGATTGAGGGTGGAAAAAGTAAATGTAATCTGGTGTAAGGTTTTTATACTATACAGGAGGAAGTATAATATAACTTGAAGGTAGATTATATTGGTTAAAAATATATAAACTTTACAGCAACCACTAAAATAAAAGAACAAAGAGTTACAGCTAATAAGAAAACAAAGATAAAACAGACCATAAAAAATACTGTATTATCCAAAAGAAGGAAAGTAAAGGGGCACCAAAAAAAAAGATAGGACAAATAGAAAATAAGTAGCAACATGATAGTCTCAAATATAATCACAGCAGTAATCACATTAAATAAAATTGGGCTAAATGCCCCAATTAAAAGGTAGCATTTGGTGGATTGAATTAAAAAGCACGATCCAGTTACATGCTGCTGACAAAGAAGCACACTATAGATATAAAGCCAGAAAAAAGATTTAAAATAAAAGGGAAAAGATACACCTTGCTTACACTCATCAAAAGAAAGCTGGAGTGGCTAAATTAATATCAGACGGAGCAGCTTTCAGAGCAAGGAATATTACCACAAAGAAGACAAACATTTCATAATGATAAAGGTGTCAGTTAAGCAACAAGATACAGTACAGTCATGCGCTGCATAATGACATTTCTATCAACAACAGACCACATATACGATGGTGGTCCCATAAGATTAGTAGTATATAGCCTAGGTCTCTAGTAGGCTATACCATCTAGGTTTGTGTAAGTACATTCTATCATGTTCACACAATGACGAAATCACCCAACACCACATTTCTCAGAACGTGTCCCCATCGTTAAGCAATGCATGACTGTAGTCCTAAAGGTTTATGCATCTAATAAAAGATCTTCAAAATACATGAAGCGAAAACGGATAGAGAACTTCAAAGAGAAATAAAATAAATCCACAAGCATAACTGAAGATTTTAGTACCCCTCTCCCAGTAATTGATAGAACAAGTAGTTAGAAAATCAAGGATATAGTGGCTTGAACGGTATTCTCAACCACCTGACCAACATTTATAGAATACTCTATCCAACAACAGAAAACTCATTCATCTCATGTGAACATGCAACGTTTACCAAGATAGAACATGTTTTGGGACATAAAACAAGTCTCAATAAAAAAATTCAAGGCATACAAAGTATGATCTCTAATCTTTATTAGTTAGCTTGAAATGCCATAACAAAATACCACAAACTGAATGGCTTAAATGCAGAAATTTATTTTCTCACAGTTCTGGAGGCTAGAATTCCAAAGTCAGGGTGCCAGCATGGTTGGGTTCTGGTAAGGACTCTTCCTGGCTCTTAGATAGCTGATTTTTTGTGTCTTCACATGCTCTTTCCTCAGTACATACACATGGAGAGAAAAAGCAAACTCTCCGATACCTCTTCTTAGACAGGTACTAATCCCACCATGAGGATCCTACCCTCATGACCTCCTAACTCTAATTACCTCCCAAGGGTCGCATCACCAAATACCATCACATTGGGGAGTTAGCGCTTCAACAGATGAACTTTCTAAGGGATACATACCTTCAGTCCATAACAGATCACAATTGAATCAAATAAAAAATCAACAGCAGAAAGATCTCTGGAAAATCCCCAGATATTTGAAACAAAACTAACACACTTCCATGAGTCAAAAAAGAAATCAAGAAGAAAATTGGAAAATATTTGGAATTAAAAGAAAATGAAAAAGCAACACACCATATTTATAGGATGCTGCAAATGTAGTACTTAGGAGTGAAATTACAGTTCTAAATACCTATATTAAAATAGAATTAAAAGGTGTCAGTGATCTATCTAAGCTTCTACCTTAAACTAGAAAAAAGAGCAAATTAAACCCAAAGTAAGCAGACAAAAGGTAAGCATAAAAGTCAGAGCCAAAATAAATGAAATAGATTTTCTCTGTTGTTAGAGAAAAATCTGTGAAACCAAAAGCTGATTTTTTAAGATCAATAAAATTGGTAAACCTCTAGCCAGACTAATCAGCAAAAAAAGACAAAATTAGTATCTGGAATAAGAGAGGTGATTTTACTACAGGGATAATAAGGGGCTACTATGAACAACTTTATGCCAATAAATTTGATGACTAGGATGAAATGGACAAATTCTTTGAAAAAAACAATCTGCCAGAGCTCACTCAAGAGGAAGTAGATAACCTGAATAGCCCTGTATTTATTAAAGAAATTGAAAATTGCCAGACTGATCAGATGCTTTGCCCATTTTTTAATTGGGTTGTCTTTTTATTATTGAATTGTAAGATTCCTTTATATATTCTAAATACAAGGCCCTTCAGATGTATGATTAGCACTTATTTTCTCCATGAGTCCACCAACAAATCCAAGGTCACGAAGATTTACCCCTGTGTTTTCGTCTAAGAGTTTTAAAGTTTAAGCTCTCAAATTATTTAAATGTAAATTAATTAAAATACCGAATTCACTTCCTCAGTCACACTTGCACACTTCAAGCATTCGTGTAGCTAATGTCTACCATGTTGTTCGGTACAGATACAGAACGTTTCCTTCATCGCAGGAAGTTCTTTTGGACACATAAACCCCTTTAAAAGAACACAGTAGTAGAAAATGAGTTAAGGACTTGAACAGGTAGTTCACAAAGAAAGAAAGAAATGGGCAAGGTCACATGCACAAAGTTGTTTAATAGTTAAAGAATTCTAAATTGGGACAGAGAGAACGTTTTGGTTCCCCAGATTGACAATGACCACACCCTTCAGATCTTGACTGGGAAGTCATGCCCAGGGGGCCTGCTTAAAATTTCAGACCTAACCTTTTCGTTTCCTACTTTTTCTCCTTAACTCTGACCATTAGTATGCTATATATTTAACTTATTTTTATTGTTTATTTTCGGCCTCCCCCCCTTTGACTGTAAAACCCACGAGAGCCTGTTTTACTCACTGTTTATTGTCCGTCCGGTACCTAGAACAGTGCAAATTAGCAGAAACTCAGGTATTTGTCATTGCTGAATGGAGGCTGACGAGATGTGGAGAAACAGGTGCTCTCATAAACTGCTGTTGGAGGGTAAATTTTTTGCCCTTTTTGGAAGCGGTTGTGTGGTATGTGAAAGTCTCAAGATTGTGCTTGCCCTCTGACCCAGCATTTGTCCTTGTAGGTATTTGTCATAAGGAAGGGAGTAAGGACGTGCACAGGGATACTGCTGGAAGAGTCAGTCACAATGGAATGCTTTTACCTGCAGTCAGGAAAACTCTTTAACTGACATGTTGGAAGGAATGTAAATTGTTTTTTAGAATGTGTCAAAGAGAACTCTTTTGCAAAATTATTTAAAAGAGATCTTCCTTTCTTTCCTAATGCCTAGCATTTTAAAATATCGTGTCGTTACTTTTCTGACCTACTTCTTTCTTAAGTGAAACTAAAACTTACCTGTACAATTTTTTCCACAGGTCCCTTAATATGGACTTTGAAAATCAAGATAAGGAGAAAGACAATAACAGTTCTTCTGGGTCTTTCAATGGCAACAGTACCAATAATAGTAAGGCTTTTTATGTCAGTTAACATTCATACATGTCGTTTTCTTAATTTGAGTCTTTCTGTAACACCAGTTAATAATTTACTGGGTTTAAGGATTTGTGTTTGATATAATAATAAAATTTAATTTGTATGATATAATTTGTTAAATTCTTATGTTCTGAAACTGAGCTACTGATTTCTTGTATACTGCTTTTAACTCATGCCTGGAAGCTTGCTGCTGAGACTCTCTATTTTCTTAAAGATAAGCAGGATAGATAAGTATCTGCCTGCTTGTAACTTCATGTAAATCCCTTGGTGAGGTTGATAAATTTTGTAGGTGTTGATCATAAATTCATTCAGTGACCCTTAAAGATAACTACTTGAAGTACTTGTAAAACTGAATATTGTGAGTATCTCTTCTGATATTTAAGATTTTATAAAAATATTTGCTTTAAAAAAAATAGAAGTGTGCTGCATGGCCAGTGTTCAGCAGCATTATTGATAATAGCTAAAAAGTAGAAACAACTCAAAGATACATAAACTGCTAGTTAATGGCTAAACAAAATATGGTATATCCATACAATGGGATACTATTCAGCATTATAAAGAATAAAGTACTGGGGCCAGCCCCCTGGTGTAGTGGTTTTTCGGCATGCTCCACTTTGGCAGCCCGGGTTCATGGGTTCAGATCCCAGGCGTGGACCTATACCACTCGTCAGCCATGCTGTAGTGGCAGTCCACATATAAAGTGGAGGAACATTGGCAACAGGTGTTAGCTCAGGGCTAATCTTCCTCAGCAAAAAAATAAAATACTGATACATGCTACAATGTGGATGAACCTCAAAACATTATGTTAAATAAAAGAAGCCAGACAGGAAAGACTCCATGTTGTATGAGTCCATTTATATGAAATTTTCAAAAAGGCAAATATATAGAGACAGAAAGCAGATGAGTGGTTGCCTGGGGCAAGGGATGGGAAGGAGAAATTAACTGTAAACTGCCACAAGGGATCTCCTTGAGGTGTTGAAGATGTTCTAAAACTAGAGTATGATGATGGTTTCACACTGGGTAAATTTATGACCCCCCAAAAAAGTTACTGAATTATACCCTTAAGACGAGTGAACTTTATGGTATGCAAATTGTATCTCAGTAGAGTTAGAAAATTGGTAATGCTTAGTGTAAAAAGAGGATTGAATAGAATAAAGGAGACTTAATTTGATAATATTAAGAGATTGATGTTGGGTATCTTCCATGCATTCCACATTCTATTAGGTATTTTGAAAGATGCAAAGGTACGAGAGCTGGTACTGAAGCTGTCATGTAGGCAGTGTGGCCAAAATACTTTCCAAGGTGTTAATAAAGTGCTGAGACAGAGACAGCAAATACCACTTCCCATCCTAAACCTAGAGCAGGTACCTTTTCTCACAGACCCTTACCACAGCCTCAGAGTCCTGAACAAGCATCTGCTATCAGTAGATACAGTAAGCACTAGAGATGAAATCATTTTGACATGTGTACCAAGAGAGTGAAGAGAAAGGCAAGTTGGGGTGAGCAACAGTGAGTCAAGTTAGTAGGAGACTCTTTGCTAGAGAAGGAGAGTTTGACTTGAAGCTTGAAACAGTGAACTTGGATTGGTGGAGAAGTCATTCCAGGTGGGAGGAGCATATAAGAGCAGGCACAGAGGAGAGAATGAGCACGACTTATAGGACAGGTTAACGTCACCACCTAATAGGGAGGAAGTGCTGGGAGTCTAATACAGAGTTAGAGAGAATACTGATGGAGGGAGGGTCTGAGAAGTTAAATTAAAAAGAGATCACTTGTATCTATTTCAGTTTCTCTGGTTATTATAATCCCCCTTCAACTAAATTATGCTTGCCCAGTTTATTGTGTTTTATTGTCCCCAGCAGTGTAACGTGGGTATAGTAAATACAGTAGGTAGAATCGTTTAAGTATAATGAGTCTTTTCTTAAACTTATGTCACAGATCCTTGATGAGGTAAAATACCATACCAGTAACTTACCAGGAACTAGGTAAAACCTAGTGTCAATATCCGATTTTCAAGTTAAATTATTACATAGCAGCTTACCTTCTGTCAGCGTTTTCGTCCAAATCATTTTGTACTCTTGAAACTCTTTAGAAGTCCTGTGTTATATAGCATATATATGAATGATGTACTTAAACCAGATTACAAATCTGATATACATTGCACATCACAGAAAACTAAGAGAAATTGATACTTTGTGTCTAAGTACCATTTTATCCTCAAATAAGTAAATGGTTAGGTCAGTCCATACAGTGGAAGGAAGTTACCTGGTAACATCAGTTTTTTGCTTCTCATTTCTAACTAGCATCTAAAGAGTGATAGATGGTTGTTTAAATGATCATTTTCTTAAATCCACCTCCTGTGTTGTGCTAAATTAACCTCAGCAAGTATATTTCGCGGTGCCTCATCTGGACCATGGATACCAAAAGGGATAGCACAGATTGGATAGAATGCAGCCCACGTCCACATAATTAGGAACAACATAATGAAAGAAATAGTCGTTGCAGAGAAGGCCAGTAGCTGATTATGGAGTATGACACCATTCCAGAGAAAAGGGATGGCATGGAAAATGGGATACGTTTATCAAAAATCAAAGAAATAGTAATAGCCAGAAAGGTGAACAGAGAAACACAAGAGATTGTGTAGGTGCTGAAGAGATTGAAGTCCTGAACTATCAACAATGTAGAATAATTAGGGGGAAAGTTCTAAGAAAATGAAGGTGTGAATTTAGTGTTAAGGTTTTGACAAGAGTGTTCTAAACTGATTGAAGGAGAAAGCGAGTAGAGAGAGGATTTTTAAAGGATGCAGTTGCCTACTCCCAAAATAAATAACAATCAAGGGACTTGTGAAAAAGATTGAAGAATGAGTGAAGTACAGCTACATTAACAGCACGGATGTTTCTCACAGTGTTGAGCAAAAGAAGCCAGACACAAAGAAATACATACTATATAATTCAGTGTATGTAAGTTCAAAAACCAGGAAAAATAAATATTAGTATTTTGGGATGCATGCTTGGGTAGAAAAATAGAAAGTAAAACAAAGATGAAAGTATCGTAAAAGCCAGCATAGTAGTTCCCTTTGGGGGAAAGAGAAAGAGTGATTGGGAGGAGCACAAGAAGACTTCCGGGCTGGGCACGATTCTGTTTCTTGACCTGGATGGTATTAGCCACATGATGATTCATTGAACTTGACATTTTTGTTTCATATACTTTTCTGTATGTGTGTTATGTTTTGCAATAAAAAGAGTCAGAAAGAAAGTGGATGGGAGGGAGTTCCCTCCAGGTCCTCTCAGTTTTCTCTAACCTTGTTCTAACTCCTGTCTTACCCCTACATCTGCCCCAAGAAACCTACATAGGGGTATTTTTCCCCCTAGCACATCAGTCCTTCTTTTAATTAGTATTAAGTGGGTTTAAAAAAAAAAAAAGCCACCCCACTCCCAGTATCTGACATCTTCAAGTCCTTTACTAGCCTGCCCATGTAATTTATTTGAACTCTGAAGATTACTGGAGGTGTACTGTTGGAATTCTCTTCATTAAACGAGATAGACATCTTAATCTCCCCACCTAGACTGTAAACTCCACAAATCTGGAAATGACTTTTTTGTAAGCCCTCCAGATTAACTAGTGTGTGTATAACAGGTGTTCGGTAATAGTTAGTCAAAAGCATGCTTCTCTCAAGGAGGTGCAAAATCAGTAACTATCTTAACAGTTACCAGTAATACAATGGTGTATTGCTCAATGTCTCTTTCATGGCCAGACATATTTTTAGCCTGCAGCTTTGTTCACTGAATGCTAAAAATATCATCTCTGTACATAATTTTTAATTCCATCACCATGCCTATTTCTTATGTTGATTTTGGCTTTAAAGATAATGCAACTGCACTTAAGTCCTCCCAATTTTGGCTGCTCTGTTTTGTTTTTAAGTCACTGGAGTCTGGCTAAAATTTCTAATTAGTTGACTCCTTCCCCTTTGGGACCATTATCTCCAGACCTTTAGGAAGTGCAGTATTGAAGTCGTGCGTGTTATTTTAGGAAGCACAGTGTCATCAGCTAAAGGAGGTTCACTTGCCCTGTGCCACTGCTGTTGGGTGAGCTCTCTGGGGCCTCCTGTAGAACTGATGGGAGCATACCTTCTGGTTTAAAACCTGTGCTTTCAAAAACTGAAAATCCGGACATTCTATCTAATATTCTAGAAAGATTCTTTGTATTCAGTTTTGCATTTTAATTGCAGGCTCTCCTTCTAAAATTTAGATTTATTATAAATACTTCTCATATACCCAACTTGCTGTAAACAGTTGTCATTCTAGCCAGCTATTAAATTTTTCTGTCCATTTTTTAAACCGGTATAATTAATCTGTAGACTATATGATACTTTGTGTTACAGAGGGGGAGTGTGGGTGTGTGTTTAAGATTTATAGACTTTTTTAAAGATTTGTTTCTTACCGTATAACAATCATTTATTTGAGAAACCATCATTTTCTGTTGTGAAAAACACCTGAAGTGAAGTTTCCTCTATTTGAACTATTGTAGAGCACACAGATTATTTAGGTGAAATAAAAGATTCCATAGAGTTTTGTCTTAAAAATGTTCATAAGACGCTTTAACATTTACCTCCCCCTAAAATGGTCCATGGGCCAGGCTGATGGGTCTGACTGTAGTTCCAGACCGAGCTCTTCACCAGATCATTTCTGTTTATCTTGACAAATAGATCACTCTTCCTAAACTGAATTACCCTATTCCTAAGTGAATTATTTGACTCATCTGCCCAGCCAATAAGAAGCAAATTGTTTTGTAGAAATGTTTAATAGTTTATTTCACCAAAATCCCTAAGTAATTCTCTTGGGGAGAGAATTTCAATACCGAGCAGCAATTTTAAATGTTGGTTGATGATTGCAACCCTTTGTGTCTAGTTATGTTCGTCTTGGTCACGGTCATGAATATATTTTATTCATAGCCTTAATTTAATGAAGAGAGACTTACTTCTAATATTTCTTTATGATAGGTTGTATGAAAATTTCTTCTTTGGTTCCTCTCACACACCTTATGATATCTCAGCAGGGTTAATTTGAAAGTAGGTAGCACACAAGATAAAATTAGTAATTTTTTCCTTTCATTCAGTGGTTATCAGATTTTGCCATGTTTTTCTTCTCTACTAAATAATCTATTAATGTTTCCCAACCCTGGATGCAAAATAAAATTTTGTGGGGAGTTTTTAGCTGAGCCTGCTGTAAACCCCCAGAGGTTTCAGTTTAATTGATCTGGAGTTGGGCTTAGGCATTGCAATTTTTTTAAGTTCTCCAGGTGATTCTACTGAGTAGCCAAGAATTGAGAACCACTGTGCTAAAACCTGTTCTATTCCAAGAGAGTGTTTTCCTCCATGTATTTCCTATTTGTGCCTTAAAAGTGTTCCCATAAAATAATTTTTCTGATTTACTGTTTTCAGATATGTCTTGTTTTCTCCCCTGCCCGCCCAAGTCTCTCCTCAGCTGTTAGCAACAATGGGGAAGAGTGAACTGAGTACATTAAATCCACAGATGATGAGAAATTATTTTAGTCAGTGAGTTTATACCACCTTTTACCAAACCTATACATAACACTACAAATGTATTCAAATTGACTGATCTGAATTTGTACTACCTTTTAATGTTCTTGATTTTTTTTAGTAGGTGGTGGTTGGGGATGGTGGGGCACACCCTGTCATCCAGATGGTTAGCACCAGGAGGTAGTAGAGGTCAAATCAACAAATATTTCTTGAGCAACTACTATAGTGAAGGCACTGTGAAGAGAGCAAGGAGCTCATAATGTCATTGGGAAGGAATCAGAGGGCCTGCATAATCTGTATCTTACATGCTAATTCCTGGAACTGTCTGCATTTAATGAGTTAATGTATCTAAAGCACATGGGCACAGTGCCTGTTACATAAATTGTTAATCTGTCCCATTGTCTCTCTTTCAGGTATCCAAACCATTGACTCTACCCAGGCCCTGTTCCTCCCAATTGGAGCATCTGTCTCTCTCCTAGTAATGTTCTTCTTCTTTGACTCAGTTCAAGTAGTTTTTACAATATGTACAGCAGGTAAATGAGTTTCTCTGTCTATACTTAACAGTAACCTAAAAGGAAGTTTCTTCACCTTTTTTTTAATCATTATTCAAAATTTGAGTCTGGCTTTTTCTCCCCCCTACTCCTCTTTGAACCGCTTGATAACATATATCATCAGTTCAGACCTGCCAACACATTCTGAACGAAGAGCCGGGGGTTTGAAAACTCCTGAGCTTTATGACACTTAAAGCAAGATCTCTTTGGCTGTGGCTCCTTGTCTGGTAGGCTACCAGAAGGTCCAGTTTGCCAGAGTGGTCAATGGCACCCCTACCAATGTTTCTGTAGATAGAAACATTGATAGCTGATCAAAGTAATTTAACGGTCAGCTCTCTGATCAGTTTTCAAGCTAAATGATGATGGAAGTGTATAAAATATCAGCGAAATGCTAGACTTGTTAGGACATCATGCCCTGGTCCACTGTTTATCTTTTCTTGTTGAGACAGAAGAGAATGAGAAAACCTACCTATGTTTCCTCCTATTTCAAATCAGGTCCCTTTCTTTCTTTCTTTTTTTTTTTCTGCTTTATCTCCCCAAATCCCCCCTGGTACATAGTTGTATATCTTAGTTGCAGGTCCTTCTAGTTGTGGCATATGGGACACCACCTCAACGTGGCCTGACGAGCAGTGCCATGTCCATGCCCAGGATCCAAACCCTGGGCCACTGCAGCAGAGCGCACGAACTTAACCACTTGGCCACGGGGCCGGCCCCAGGTCCCTTTTTTTAAAGAGGTTATCTGTACAATACTAAAGGGAGATACTTTCTTCCCTAGTTAAATTAATTGTACTCACTTTGTCTAGAAAGGCATTCTAGGCAATGATTGTTTCCGTAAGTCATGCCATTTTTCTTATAACTGGTGAAAAATAAACAACAAAATTTAACCATACGTTTTCTTTCTCTAGTTCTTGCAACGATAGCTTTTGCTTTTCTTCTTCTCCCGATGTGCCAGTATTTAACAAGACCCTGTTCACCTCAGAACAAGTAAGGACTGAGGATTTTCCTCTAAATCATAAACTTGTGTATGTTTTTCTTATACTTAATAGTATTATTAGGAGTCTGAATTTCTGATATTGACTGGAGCACACAAATGCCAGAAGACTGGCAAGTGAGATGTTTGATCTTTAATACTGGGAGGTAGTACTTCCTTTTGTATCTTTTCATAGCAGAGGAGATATAAACAAATCTTAGGCAGTCAGAGTCATTGACTGCTTAGGTTATTAAAAGATGACCAGTTTTATTTTGAAGCATCGTTTTCATTTCTTTACAATAATGGTTGACTCAAACATTCTTTGCCTTTCATCTTTGGTGACCTAGAATATGTATTAGCCACTTAGATTTAATCCCACTGTTCACACCGTAACCCCCCAAGCCATTGCTCCATAGAAACAAAATGCTTTGTTAGTGGAGATGCTGTGTGCACTTAGGAAGCCGGTCACTTGGGGCAGCTGATTTTCCCAGGAACTAGTGATAAACCAAATAGGTTTACCATTGTACAAATATTTACTCATCTTTGCTAAATGAATTGAATTGTTGACTTTCTTCATTTTGTTTTCCTCATAAGAATAAAATTTCCCCTATACTTAGATTCTCCGAAGATTGATATTGTCACTTTAAACTTACAAACACCCATGTTGATAATTTGGGATAAAAAGTACATTATCAAATGGATGCAGAAGTATACTTCCTCTGAGCTTTCTACAGCTTACTCCAAAGAGGTTTGGATATTTTGGAATTCTAGGTATCTGAGTGTTGCCTACTATTCTCAGCTAGCCACCATGAGCTCTGATCATGAAGAACCAAAGGCAAGTTTGGTTATTGAATATAATTGACTGCCCATTAGTCCAAAGAATGTTGTGTGTTTTCTAGGATTTCCTTTGGTTGCTGTGGGCGTTTCACTGCTGCTGAGTTACTATCGTTCTCTCTGTCTGTCATGCTCGTCCTCATCTGGGTTCTCACTGGCCATTGGCTTCTCATGGATGGTGAGTAACTAATATGTGGCAAGTTGAAATTTTAATATAGTTTATAGTTAAATTTGTCTTCCTTTCCTCTGCTTCTCTGTTTTAGTAATATGACTTCTGATTACCATGAATATTAGGTATCCAAAGATGGTGTTATGTATCACTGAGTTTTTTATTATTTTTATCCACATTCTCAAGATTTTTTAATTTTATTTATTTATTTATTTTTCTCCTTTTTCTCCCCAAAGCCCCCCACTACATAGTTGTCTATTCTTCGTTGTGGGTCCTTCTAGTTGTGGCATGTGGGACGCTGCCTCAGCGTGGTTTGATGAGCAGTGCCATGTCCGCACTCAGGATTCGAACCAACGAAACACTGGGCCACCTGCAGCGGAGCGCACGAACTTAACCACTTGGCCACGGGGCCAGCCCCTCAAGATTTTTCAATAAAAGCTTTTTTGAGATATAATTCACATACCATATGATTTACCTATTTAAGTTTACAATTCAGTGGTTTTTAGTATAGTCACAGAGCTGTGCAACCATCGTTACAATCAGTTTTAGAGTATTTTCATTAGCCCCCCTCCAAAACCTACACCCATTAGCAGTCGCTTCCCCATTCCCCCCAACCCCAGCCTCAGACATCCACTAATTTACTTTCTGTTTCTATGGATTTTCCTCTTCTGGACATTTCACATAAATAAAACTATATATGACCTTTTGGGTCTGCATTCTTTCACTTAGTGTAATGTTTTCAAGGTTCATCCGTGTTGTAACCTGTATCAGTACTTCGTTTCTTTTTATGGCCAAATCCTGTTCACTTGTATAGGTATATCAACTTTATCCATTCATCATTTTCCACTTTTTTTGCTATTATGAATAATGCTGCCATGAACATTTGTGTGCAAGTTCTTATGTAGACTGTACTTTCTTACATAAATTGGATAATACTGTAATACAATACACATGTTATATATAAATATATGTGGAATATATTATAATATGTCATGTATAATATGTGTTATATGATATGCAACAGACTCCTTTTATGTAATGATATAAATACATGTGTATATCATTACATAAAAGTGTATCATAGCCTTTTTTAATAGTTCCAGAGTATTCCATTATGTGTATGTTATTTAACTGCTGCTGGATCCTTAGATTGTTTTTAATCTTTTTCTATTATAAGTAACCCTGAGGTAAACATTCTTGTTCCATCTCTTGGACTGCTCGGCCATACTACCTCACCTCTTGTTTCATTTCTTGGTATGCATGTCAGATTATTTACTAAGAGTATTTCTAAGATGAATTCCTACATATGAAATTCCTGGAACAAAGAGTTTTGTATTTAAAAAATTTTATATCTATTACTGTACTGCCTTTCAGAGAGGTTATAGCAGTTTATGCTCCTACCTACACCATATGAGAACTTCCCTTCATTGATGATGATAATGATGAAATAATAACAATAATAGCTAACATTTATTGGGTGCTTTTTATGCATTGGGTACTGTGCTGGGTGTTTTACATAGATTATCTCATTTAATCCTGAAAACAACTCTTTGAAGTAGGTACTATTATTGTTCCCATTTTACAGAAGAGGAAACAGGTTCAGAGAAGTAACTGACTCAAAGTCAGAACTCCTGTATATTTCATACTGATTATCAGAACACCTTAGAGGGACATTTCCAAAAGTCCCCCATTATTCTTCTGTTCTCTCCCTTAAGACATTTTTTTTTAACTTTTCTTTATTTAAGACCCATAACCATCTCTACCTCCTTTTTCATTCAGTCCTTACTCTCATTTTCGTAGTTCACTTCATCTAACTGCTCTGCCCCAGAAAGTCTATTCAGCTTTTCCTTTCTTTTGGTGTTTCAGAAGGGAGGGAAGTTAAAATACAAAAAGTCAATTTTAGGGGCCAGCCTGGTGGCACAGTGGCTAAGTGCGCACATTCCACTTTGGTGGCCTGGGGTTCGCCGGTTCGGATCCCGGGTGCAGACATGGCACCACTTGGCAAGCCATGCTGTGGTAGGCATCCCACCTATAAAGTAGAGGAAGATGGGCACGATGTTAGCTCAGGGCCAGTCTTCCTCAGCAAAAAGAGGAGGATTGGCAGCAGATGTTAGCTCAGGGCTAATCTCCCCCCCCAAAAAAAGAGTCTATTTCATACTATTTGTAATACTATCTAAAGAATTTTTAAGGGAGGAATTTGAAAATTGGAGATGATAGGTATGGATTGCACTTATTCCTGTTATCCATTCCAAGCAACCACGAGGTTAATCAAGACTTGGAAACAGCTTTTTAGAAGCAACTGCCAGGTCTCCACTCCATTCTGCCAGGCACTGCATCCCTGCAGGTCAGAGGCTGGCTCGGCTACGGTAGAGCTGTCATTCAGTGTTGTCTAAGCACAGAGCCACCCAGAGGGATGCTTATGTCCATGCCTCAAGTCGGGAGTAGCTGACTTATTCACGCAATTTTTAAGTACCATGGCAGTAGGGTATATATGCTTTCTAAGACTCATGTTAAGGTTGCTCAGTAGTATTTGGTACACAGTTTGGAGTTTTTTTAGTGGTATTTTTATGTTTACAATTTTTCTAAAACATTTGCATCAAAAATGTGAACTACCTCAAAACAAAGGATGTTCTGCTCATGGTCAAATAGGATAGAATTTGACAAAAAGGATTTTAAACTGTATTGTCTTCTGTGATCCAGAATTAGTGATACAATCTTAATAGGAAATTTTTTAAACCTTAAGGAAAACTAAAAACTTATCCTTCTGTTTCTGGGATTTTTTTTTTCCCTCATAAGTTACTTTGACCAGTACAAGGATTTAAAATTTGTGCCGAGTTAATTAGCGAAAAACTCTGAGAAACTGAATGTTATGAGGGAACAAACTATGGAGTGGATTGCAAGCTCTGTGAAATTATGTATAAATGACATGTTATTTTAATCAAAGGTGATAACTACAGAAAAAGCACTTTTAACTTGTGAAACATACAATATACTTATTTTAAAAGTATATTTTTTGCTTAAGACAACATTACAGGATGGATCAGTGGTTGCCGGCGGTTATGTGGGATGGAGGCGTGACCGCAAAGGAGCAGCACAGGGGCTTTATTGGGGCGTCACAGCTGCTCTCTACGCCGAGTGGGGTGGTGGCGGCTCTCCAGATCTATGCGTGTGTTAAAAGTCATAAAACTACCTCTAAAGAAAAACTCAATTTTACTGTTTGATAATCTTAAAAATATTAAACATATATATTCATAACTTTGTGAATATAATTTATCACAGTTGTTGTTCAGTGCCTTTTTTGAGTGCCTGCAATATACCAGGCATTGAAACTCAAAAGCACTTCCTTGAGGCTGGAGGTCAAGTTGCCCTTTAGACTTCATACAGACTCAGAGTGGGAAGCCAGGGGTCAAAATCACTAGTGCCTGGTCTGTGCGCTAATTCCGCTTTGCTGATTTCTGACAGATTTGGCGTCTTGTTTTGGCACCATACATTACCTCATAGGAGACGTTTACTGTGATGCTCTGCCTCAGCACTCGAGCGTCCACTGTGCATATAAACGTTCTGAGGTGCAATGTTTAGAATTTTCAAGTGTTTATCAGAACTGCTAAATTCCCCAAATCGATATCAGTACTTTCAGTGTTCTTATGGATTCGTGCTTGGTACCTCACTGCTTCTGGAGGTTGATAAAGAATAAGTGGAGGAAAAGAAATTACATCTAAAGTCACACGAGTTTCTTGACTTGCATAGAGTAGAAGGGTAAATGCGTATTTTATATATACTAGGTATGAAGAGTGATGAAGTGCAGGTATGTGGATTTGACCTTTCCTGGGATTAACTCGGTGTCTGCAGAAGAATCGTTTGTTACCTGCTAAAAGTACTGTATAAATTGAGCATGTAGGTGACTTTGAAAGACTTTAATAGAGCCTAATCGTTTTTAAAAATATGTATTACAGAAAAGTTAAGGAGTCTTGATAATAATGACTGGAGCAGAGAGAGTAAATATTAGTCCACATCGGTCCCGTAGCTGCTTTTATGAGTATGTCCATCCCATCTCGTCTAGTCCGGAGCTTTCTGATGAGGAAGCAAGCAGCACAGACATTTCTTCTCCGCTTCTTCTGAACAGAAACTCTTTAGAAATGCTGGTTAGTTGGTTAATATCTAAGGCAGATTGTTTCAGTCCCTATGCATTGACTGTGTGGACGACTGTCAGCTACGTGGTCTTAAGAGAAACTCTGATCATGATGTCCTTAAATGACAGGCCACTCCTGTAAATGAAACGTGTAACTCCACCTGTGGTATGTGTTACGTGAAAGGAGACAATGAAAGCTCCAGGTGCTGCTGTTTGAACTAGAGTAGTATAAAGCAATAAGCACCTAACCAGGACCAATTAGTCTCGGCACTAGCAGACTCAAAGTCCATGTGATGACAAATAGTATTGAAGCTGCCTTGAAGTCTCTCAGCCCGCTGGGTGGTCTGAGGTTCTCTGTAATCCCACTGCTAACTTTGGTGGCTCTCCTTTCATGGAACTCTTTATTCATGTGTCCAGACACACATGACACTATTTACAGGTTTTGCTAAAGTTTTTAAGTTTACAAGCTGCTGACCCAAAAAAGATTAGATGTCTCTCAAAACAGCAAGCAATGTGTTCTTTATACTCTCATCTCTACCCTACCCGAGCGCTGCATAGAACAGAAAAATACCTATTTACCAGTAGTACGTCACTAAAAAAGCAAAAATTGGCATGATGGAAGGTGACATTCTTTTCAAGATAAACTGATTTGCACAGCCCTGTGAAACACATGTTTTAGAGCAAGTCAGCTGAATGTTCTTCGTTGTACTTCTGCAGCAGGGGCAGCGACAGGCTTACTAGACTCCCTGAAGCCAGAAGAATGAGGTAAGCAGCTCTTCTGTTTACCTCAGAATTATTTCTAGACTACAGAGTCAGGAGAACATTGGCCATAAAGGACAAACTTTATTTTCCCAGAGACCACAATTCACAAATACATTTCTGGGAGCCAGCCCCTTGGCCCAGTGGTGAAGTTCACGTGCTCTGCTTTGGTGGCCCAGGTTTCGCCAGGTCACATCCTGGGTGTGGACCTACGCACTGCTCATCAAGCCATGCTGAGGCGGCGTCCCACATAGAAGAACTGGAATGACATACAACTAGGATATACAACTATGTACTGGGGCTTTGGGGAGAAACAAAAGGAGAGGTAGATTGGCAACAGATGTTAGCTCTGGGCCAATCTTCCTCACCAAAAAGTATACAAAAAAAAGAAAGAAAGAAATAATTTTTGTTGTGAAATTCACCTAATAGTTGATATTTTTTTCTGAGTGTTCAGTGAGACACCCCTAAACCATAACTGGCCCTAACTAGTAGACTTTTACACCATTTTCTCATTATTGCTATTTCTCAATATCTACTTGCCCAAGAATCTCTTCTTCCTACCAGTTTGTGCTGGTTGAACTGCCCTTGTGACCAAGTATAGAGTTTTTCTTTAAAAAAAAAAAAAAGGAGCACTTTTGAGCTTTTTAGTTGGTTTTTCAGATTAGTGTTTGATGTGTGTTTAATTTGTTTTCTGTTATTAGAGAAAATGTCGCTTTCTAGCCATGGTTCTGAAATATGTTCTTCTCTGGCATGGAAATTGTCTTTCCACACTTCTCTGCAGAATCAGAAATCATCTTGTCGGCAGTGATAATTTGGTAGTAGAGTTTTTAAGTGAGTGTTTCTTAATTAAAGCCTGTTCTTTGAAGTTAATTTAGAGTGAAACAGATGATAAATGTGGTTGTTTTAGGGCAAGTCATGGAATATATTTTCAGGGTTATGCTAAGAAGCATTAATATTAAGAGGAGACTTCAGAGTTTTCTTAAACTAAATCTAGAGATCTTTTATCTACTCTGTTTGATCTGGCAAATTAAGCTTTTAAATTTGGGAAGGCTTGAAAGAATGTGGGCCATGAGTGGTGTGGCGATGTTGGCTAAGAGCTGGTGAGTCCTGTGCGCACCCCGCGTTCCAGGCTTGTTGAGTGAGGCTCACAGTCTGGGTCCCCGCTCAGCTCCAGCCCCTCATCTTACAGCACTTGCTACTACCAGTGATGAGAAAACGTTCAGTGCCAGAAATCCAGCGATGGATTTTTTTTCTTGTTTTAAAGTGCTAGACTCTGGTGCTTAGTCCACATAGGGCTTAGGTATCTAGAGATCCTTTATCTTAGACATGAGCCTGCTTAAGACCTTACAGGTTACAGAATCTTTTTCAGGAAGATTTTAGCTCAGTGTGGTGTCATGGCTTTATCCCTGGCTCTGCTGGTTGTGGAAGACGAGGTGATACAGAGATTCTATCAATAATAGATTGATGGAGATTATAGCTGAATGGCTAAGGTTTATAATTTACTTCCCTAACACTTTTGGTTAGTTTACATTTAACCCAAAGTTAAGTGTATTGGTAAAGCTATTAGGGGAGGCCTGGGAGTTTCTCAGGCAGCTTGCAGCGAGGGAAGGTTTCACCTCTCTGCATTTTCACTTGGAAACGCCCTAAGGAGGAGGTAAGATATTTAAGGGTTACTTGAATGAAAGAATGAAGAAAAAGAGACAAACTAGATGAACAGTTGAGAATGTGTTTCGGGGATATGAATAGCTTATGGCAGTACTCATTTGGGGGTGGGAGTGATACTCATTCAACAAACATTATTAAGAACCTCTCGGAAATAGTTGAAAGGGATGCATTCTGCCTCTTCAAACATGGAACTTAGAGTACAGTGGGGAGACTTGCTCAGCTTAGATGGAAAGAAGGAGTAGGTTGAGGATTAGGAACAAAGGAAGACAGAGTCTAAGGCCGAGCCCATGTGGCACAGGGCCATTGTGTGTGAGTTGTGCCCCAGGCTGTGCGACTTTATAATTGGACTGGATCCATCAGAGTAGGGAACCTAGCAACCTTAAGGCAGAAAATGATTGAACTGATTTTTTGACAATGGCAGTGAAGAGTAAGTGGAAAGAGACAGAGAGAGAGAAAGTGGGAAAGGACACACATCAAATTAGGAAGTGTGGGGAACCATGTCACAGGTATGCATTAACAGTAACAAGTAACACTAATGGCTGCAGATTGAGTGTACAGGATGAAAGACTGATAAATTGAAAATGAACCCCGAGTTTCTTGTTTGGAAGATTAGGGATAGAATGACATTGTCTAGAGTCATGGAAAATTCTGAAACGGAGCAATTCTGTCTTGTCCATATTTGGTTTCCACCCCGGTTGGGTAGGATTAGGATAAGATGAGTGACAAAGCAACAAGTGGATGCTTAGACCAGATGACCTGTAAAGGCTCCTGCCAGTTTAGGATTAAGTGATTGTATGGTCAATCTATTAGAAAAGTTCTAGAACAGACCAGTCACCTGCGTGTGTTACAGAGGCGTATGCATTTAACCTCGGGAGCCGGCCCTCCTGCTTGTCTGTCCAGTTGGTTTCTGTCCCCATCTTTGGGTTATCATCAGTCAGTCCTCTGACCATCGCTGCCCACACACTCCTGTCTCTTGTCTGTCCTTCATAGGCCTTCTTTTCTTCCTTTGCTCCCTTGATGCTTTACACTGCACGTATTCACTTGTAAGCTCCTGAACAGACCACCTCTTGTTACCCTACCACCATCACCCCCGCCAGCATTTCGTCCCAAATGTGTGTGATCTGTTCTCTGGTCATCACTTCTCCGCCTCTACCCCAGGGGCTTCCCACCCACCGCTGACCACTGCTGTTCCTCCAGCCCGCTGAGCTTCTCTCTTTCAGTGTCCTGTCTGTTGCCTGTTTATTGATTCACAGCACAGCAAAACATTTGTTTCCTGAGATAATTATAATGGGAAATCTTGTTATTGAACAATGGGCGTGGGTTGATGACATCACAGGCCTTAGGGACATCTCTGAATGCCTTAACCTGGTACCTCAGTTGTCCCTTTGCACCTTTGAATGCTTCAGCCTTTTCCAAAGCCTGATTGACCCTAACTGTGTTCATTATGTTTATTTCAAATGACACGAATTTGCATACATTTTACTAATTTGATTCTGTTTTTAGACATTTATAAAAAATTAAAGGAGACCATAGTAAAATGAGCATCCTAGATTGTTATAAAGTCAGGAATTATGTCTTGACCACACCTCCAAAATGCACACTGCAGCACACAGTGTGGAGCTCAGTGAGTGCCCGATGGCAGTAATGACGGGGGATAGAGGTAGTTTGTTGTTCTTCTCATTTTACTACTGTCTTTCCTACCCTTCTCTGTTGTAGGGAATGGCATGATTTTTCCCCACCTTTGTTTATGCAACACCATACCCACAGTAGGAACTCATTAAATATTGGTTGTCTTGATGTGTCCAGGGTCTGCCAAACTGCTGTATTTGCCCACTTTGTTACATATATTGACAATTTACCACAAATTCTATTAAAATGATACACATCTGTAATAGGATTTTACTTTTCTTACTTTCCTTAGATTAATTTGAAATTTAAAGTTGATAGAACATAACTTTTAATTCGTTCAGCAAATGTTTATTGAATGTCTACTCTGTCAAGTGCTGCATATCACAGAAAGAATAAGCTGTGTTTCTGTCTGCCCAGAGGGAATAAAGTCACTTCTATATAAATAATGGCACTATTATAGAATAGATGCATTAGTTGAGAGAGATTCAAAGTTCTGTAGCATCACAAAGAAAAAACAACTTTATCTGGTCAGGTCAGGAAGGCCTCCCTAAGGAAGGGCCTTCTGCCCTGGCTCTTGGAGAATGAGGATGAATTTCCCAGGTAAGGAAGCCCAGGACAGGGCCTTCTGTGTAAAGCATGAAAGAACATAGTATGGGGGCTGGCCCCGTGGCCGAATGGTTAAGTTCGCGCGCTCCGCTGCAGGCGGCCCAGTGTTTCGTTGGTTCGGATCCTGGGCGCGGACATGGCACTGCTCATCAGACCATGCTGAGGCAGCGTCCCACATGCCACAACTAGAAGAACCCACAATGAAGAATACACAACTATGTACCGGGGGGGCTTTGGGGAGAAAAAGGAAAAAATAAAATCTTTAAAAGAACATAGTATGTGTTAAGACCTGTGATCGTATTTGAGTGGCTAGAGAAGAGAGCAGCAGCAAGTGCCTGCTGAGGGTGAGGGGCTGCCCCGTGGAGAGTACCCTCCTGTGCATCCCACTAGGACAAGAACCCACGGAAAGTTCGTAAGGAGCTGTGTGGCCTAATCAGACCTGTGTTTTCAGAAGAACGGAGGGCTGAAGGCAGGGAGAGACCATTCATCTGCTAAGCCTTCTCTAGACTCCAGGGATGTGGCAGGGCACCATGCCCTCAAGGACCTTACATTTTAGTTGAGAGGAGAGAGAACTTAAGAAAAGGATGTATGGTATGTCAGATTTTGAGAGGTGCAGAGGGGAAACGGCAAGGATAAGGAGGGAGGAAATACAAGGATAGAGAAGAATGGATTGCTGGAACAGTGTCCTTGAGTAAATGAAAGGGGTGCAGTCTAGGATGTGAGTTGACTTCAAAGTAAGGAGCAAGGATGATGTCCTTGCAGTAATGTGGGGAGGCAGGAAACAAGAACAGGTACCGCACTGAGCCTGCCTTAGAGTTTTGTCATTCAAAATAGAGAATCTCCTGGGTTTTACACAGTTGAGCACTATCTAGCTTGAGAAAAGGGATTTCCCCAAATACTGGCAGGTCAAAAAAAGGGCTAATTGTGGGCATTTTGCACGTGGGGTGTAAATGTCTCAGACTGGAGCTTAGGGCAGCCTGATTTTTTTTAGTGACTTAACAAACTCTGTTAAGTTTATAAGCTGAATAGCTTGTGGAAAGAGGATGAGTCTTTACCCTGCACTGACTGCTGTCTCCTCCCCAGCCCTGGCCATGGGTCTCTGTGTTGCCATGATCGCCTTCGTCCGCCTGCCCAGCCTCAAGGTCTCCTGCCTGCTTCTCTCAGGGCTTCTAATCTACGACGTCTTTTGGGTAAGTGTCTCTTTCCCCAAAGCCACTGCTCTCCTTTGTGTTTAATTGGCGCATTCACTCCTGAAAATTGTTAACTGTAAGTATCTAAAGTCTGGCTGGCCTGAGGACCTCCTGTCCTCGGCCGCTGTCTGGGCCTCTGTCTGTTGAGATGTGTTCCAGTAGGTAGCACGCAGATGCCTCTTAGAGTGGAAGAGGGAGCAGGCAGGCAAGGCTCTCTGCCCTGGGAGCACTGCCAGCCACACTGTGAGGGATTAATCTCTGGGTGTGGAGAGAAGAAATCTGCAAGTACACACCAAGAGCAAAGGTTTTCTTTATCCTCAAAGCATGCAGTCAGAAAAGCTCGATATTGCAGTATTCTGAGACTGCTCTTAGGAGCAAAGAGGACTGATGCTAAGATCGGGTTGCTTCCAGCTCCTTCTGTTAAATGTGACTCTCCACTCGGCAGGTGTTTTTCTCTGCCTACATCTTCAACAGCAACGTCATGGTGAAGGTGGCCACGCAGCCGGCTGACAATCCCCTTGATGTTCTGTCCCGGAAGCTCCACCTGGGGCCCAGTGTCGGGCGTGATGTTCCTCGCTTGTCTCTACCTGGAAAACTCGTCTTCCCCAGGTAGGACTGGCGTGTTGGGCCTCATCCTGTGACAGCGAACAGACTGCCTTCCTGTGCCTCTCTGTTCCTTGATTAGTCTGTCTTGGTCATCAGCATCTAATCCTAGACTGGAAAAGAGTTGGAGTCTTCATCTCCATCTTACAAATGAGGAAGGGAATATTGACTTGTGAAGATTTATCACTAAGTGATACAGGTGCTGCTTTTTATTGTTGATTAATGTTATCAAGCAACCATATGTTACTACTGTTACCATATTTTAAAGTTGGCCTGAGAGAATTAACTGGAGAATCTGGATCTTTTTTTACTTCTAAGACATTTGCAAAAAAATATGTCCTAATGCTTAAAATTATACAGTTCCTAGTAATATAATTTTGGAAAAATTAATATGCTGCTTTAATCTCCCTGTGTCTGGTAATAGGTGCTTCTTTGCAGTCTCAGCAGTGAATGTGTGACAAATAGTGACATTTCTAGGGGAGGCAGTGCTTAAGCAGATCTCCTCAGCAGTTGCTCACGAGGTGCTCTCCTGAAGCGCTGAGGGGCCTGGTTGAAGACCCCTGTTGCCACTACTCTTGCGGCTCTGTACACTCTTAAAAAACTAGCATCATTCGGCCAGTAGAGATTTCCATCTACCATTCAGATGAGTTCTTTAACTTCTTAAAAAGCTGACAGACTTTGCCAGGAGGAGGAGAAATGGGACTGCAGAGTGTGGCTTCCCTGACCTGGGACACTCCCTTGCAGCTCCACCGGCAGTCACTTCTCTATGTTGGGTATTGGAGACATTGTGATGCCTGGGCTCCTGTTGTGCTTTGTCCTTCGTTATGACAACTACAAAAAACAAGCCAGCGGTGACTCCTGCAGTGCCTCTGGACCCGCCAACATCTCTGGACGCATGCAGAAGGTCTCCTACTTTCACTGCACCCTCATTGGATACTTTGTAGGTAAGAGAGAACCAGAGAGGCTGTGTGTGATCCCCTCTCTGGCTGTCCCCCAACCCATGCAATTAAATCAGGTCTTCCAGCTGCAGATGCTGGATGGAAGGAGAGCAGGAGCTCTGGTTGCTGTTACAGACAACCACAACGGAGGAAAGCCCACTGGCCTGTGAGATGACAGATGCTCTCCATCCATCTAGATAGATACTAGCCAGTCCAGTTCCCAGTCCAAGAGTATGTCTGAAGAACATTGTAGGAGAGTATGGTCACCTCAAAGTCAAGCACACCTACCACACAATGATCATGAATCAGTGTGTGTGCTTAATTAAATCTGCAGCTTGACTTTAATGAATGTCATGTTTATTTTCTACTTTATTAAACCGATATTTCCCTTCCTTTGTTCTGACATTTCCATCCCCTCTGCCCTCGGACTCCCTGGGCTGTTTTTTTTCTAGCCGGCCCCCTGGCAGGCAGACAGGGAAAGACCGCTATGGCTGGGCTAGGAACAGTGGTAACCCGTCTGCTCCTGTGACGCTGCTGCACAGGGAGTGGAAGGAGCACCTCTCATGGCCGCGCCACCTGCTGAACCTCAGCACCTGATTCCATAGCTCTCTCATGGACCCAGTTCATTTCAGTCCAGAAACTCTGAGACGGGCAGGGCAATTGGCCTTATTCCCATTAGACAGAAGAGGAGGCCAAGGCTCAGGGAGGTGAAATGCCTGAACCAAGGTTATGCAGCTCTTGTAAGTAGCAGAGTTGGAACGTGGACCCAGGTCTTTGCCTCCAAGTCTAATATCGCATACCACAGGAGACAGACACCAGGCATGCTCCAGGCTGGAGTGTGGGCTTGAACCAGGAACCTGAGCACGCAGTGGCACGTGGGCCAGTCATGCGTCCTTGGAATGCTAGGTTTTTTAAAGCTGTGCTGTTTCACGTTTCTTTAACTGCTCAAGCTGGGCATTTCACACCCTAATCACTGGATGGTCTAGATCACATTAGATCTATACCATCTCAGCACTCTGCCAAGCAGCAGCAGGTAACAGAGGTCTTCCTCTCTCGGAGCTGGCCCTCGGTTATTCACGAATGTCCCTCTCCTCATAGGTCTGCTCACTGCTACTGTGGCATCTCGCATTCACCGAGCAGCCCAGCCCGCCCTTCTCTATTTGGTGCCATTTACCTTATTGCCACTCCTCACGATGGCCTATTTAAAGGTGAGAGAAGCAGTTATAAAGCTGTGAAAGCAATAACTTGGCATTGACCCTGGACTTGGGTATGTATTCTCCTTGCTGGAGGTGGTTCTGCTTAAGCACTGGAGCTCCTCGTCTTGACAGTGGGGTTTTTTTGTTGGTTTTTGTTTTTGCTAACCTGATACTAGCAACGTCTTCCAGATTCTTGCAGCCACTGGCAGAAAATGCTCATGCAGTAGACTACTACACCGCCTGGTCGTGGGTAATTGAAATCCCTAGAGCCCAGCTGCAGAGACTTCTGTTTCTCTTAAAAGCAGCACTCTGTTGCCACCTAACAGCTCCTTTAATACTTTGCATTAAAGTTTGTAAATAATTGAGAAATGATAGAGGGGCTGGCCCCGTGGCCGAGTGGTTAAGTTCGCGCGGTCCGCTGCAGGCGGCCCAGTGTTTCGTTGGTTTGAATCCTGGGCGCGGACATGGCACTGCTCATCAAACCACGCTGAGGCAGCGTCCCACATGCCACAACTAGAAGGACCCACAACGAAGAATATACAACTATGTACAGGGGGGCTTTGGAGAGAAAAAGGAAAAAAATAAAATCTTTTTTTAAAAAAATCTATGATAGAAACTAGACTTAGAGCATTATCTTCCTCACAAGACTTATATTATCATCCCCATTTTATGGATGAGGAAAGCACAGAGAGGTTATTTCACTTGCCTAGATCATCTGACTCCTAAGTGATAGAATTTACACCAGGATAGAGGTGGTAAAAGTCCTTTGCTGCTCAAGGAGCCTAAGAGTTCTTCTAGTGAGTTCCGTGAAGAATGATGGGATACTTTTCAGTGAGTAAAATTTTAATGTTCTTTGATTCTCCACAGAAGCAATCTGATCTGAGATCAAGAATCAGAGAGGATTTATAGACCCGTGTGCCTCTTGTTTAAGTCTGTAACTGAGTATAGTTCCCTCTTTCCCAGGGTGACCTACGGCGGATGTGGTCTGAGCCATTCCACTCCAAGTCCAGCAGCTCCCGATTCCTGGAAGTATGATGGATCACAGAGAGTGACCAGAATGGCCATCTTAGTCCTTTTCTGTCAACGCGTGGTTTTGTTTCCTCTTAGAGCTGGCCTGGTACTCGGAGACGTACCTGTTTAAGGAACTGACGTGTGACTGGATTTTACATTTGCGGCAAGCGTGTTTGCAGGAGCGAGGTGCTGGAGCCTGCTGGGTTCCGTCTCTTCCTGCCGTTGTAGAGGTGGAGCCCTCCCGAAGCGACAGGCCCTCCCCAGCACTCCTTCCTCCCGTTGTATGGATCTGCACAGACTGGGGGATGGAGATGTGACTGTCTAAAACTGACAACGGCAAGGAGTTGTTCTATACCTTTTGAACACTAAAAGGATAAAAAACATTAGCAAACCGAAGTTTCTTCAACGAACCCTCAAGAACTTTGGGACCAGTTTCCTGTGGGGGACTCAGTTTCAGAGAACTGAGACAGAAGCTCTTCTGTCGTTATATTCTTCTTTCCTTTTTTTGGATTTATTAAATATTTTCTGTGGTGTGAAGTGACTTATTAAATCCACAGACATTGAGTGACTTCTTACAACATACACATAAGAATTTGTTGTAATGAGTTCATGTCCACCCAGATGTTGTGTTGGCAGTGAACGAGGGCACGGTTTTTATACATACACACACACGCACACACACGCACATAGATATATAAGAATAAACAAAAATTAAAACCTGCTAAGGTCCTGCTGTGTAGCAGACAGGGACTTGCTGTAATTTAGCATGTAGAGCAGTCTACTCTGGCTTCTTGTATGTGGATAAGCTGCTGTCTTTCCCCCACAACTGAACGTGCAGTTAAAAACCAGTATAGTATTTGTACTGATATACTCATGGACTTTAGGGGACTCTCGTTTGGTTTTGATCCGTGTAGCAAATTAGGGATGAAAAGTTAACACTTTTGCCCCTTTTTTGTTCTCACAGGCTTCTCCCTTGCAGGACTTTTAGTAGTTTCTTCTTGAACCAATGCATGTATTATAGCAGCAGGTGTCTTTGTGCTTTCTGATCATAGTAATGTACTACTTGTAAATACATTTTTCTATTTTCTATTTTTTTGTATTTTTTTTTTTTTTTGGCATTTTGTTTCATTGGTGTGCTGTATTTTCCATGCCCTCACTCCTTTAAGAAAAAAAAAAGGAAAAAAGCAACACAATCCTGTCCTTGCTGTTGTGATTATAGTCTTGGTTTACCTGTGGTGACAACTGGGTATTGGGGACAAATGTCAAATGTCCCTCTGAGGCGGGCCCTACATTCCAGGAATTGCAGATGGAACAGGCTGCTCCATCCCCTTAGGATCTGACTGCGTGCTGTAGGCTCTGCTGGAGAGCCAGCATCTGGTGGTAACTAGTGTGAGTAATGTCCGCTTGCCTTTGTCTAAGCAGCCCCAGCCTGATAAGAAGTTGCCCATTGTTCAGAGGCCGACAAGAGCCTGGAAGTGGCCTGCGTGCCTGACACCAGAGGGTGGAGACGGGCCCACGCGTCTGGTTTCTCCCTGAAGCAGGTGACCTGCCTCTGTCCTGACCTGTGTAACAAACTGGTGTGCTGTGGTCCCGCTGCTTGGAGCCACGGCGGATAAAGCTCAAAGGCGGTGTGCAGCGCGTTGTCCAGGGAGCGTGAAGCGATCAGGGTGGTACGTTCCTCTGTTGTGTCTTCAAATCTTGCTGAGGGCTGTTTTGTTTCTTGTTGTTTTGTTGGGTTTTTTTAAATAAATGACTCCTTTCTAGCCCTTGTTACCTCATCTTCACTTTTGGTTGTTGGTACCAAACAGAGCTCCTGTCACCTCGCTCCTGCTCTGCCTGTCCAGAGGATGGTGGGAAGACCGTCTGTCTGCAGCCAGGGCAGCGGCAGCTCTGGTTCCGTCCTGTGGACATCAGGGACCTGAAGCTTCTGTTGTCCACAGAACTCCAGACAGCCTCTGCATTGGGCACAAACCAAAAGCACACTCATGTACCCACTGCTCATCAGCTGTCCAGCTTTCTTAGCCCTCGAGGATGCTGATGGCTAATTAGGGGATGGGGCGGGGGGTTGGAATCTTCCAAAATGACTCCAGTTAAGGGCAAGTGCCAATAATGGTTAGAAATGTTATCCTGGCAGTTGGTCAGTTTAATTTTCCTAGCTTTCTTTTCATAAAAAATCTAAATTCCAGACAGATGGAATGTAATTTTTTGTCATCCTCACTTCTGTGTAAGGTTAAGGGGGAAAAATACCCACACGAGACTCCTGAATGTAATTTCAATTCCAGTTGCGAGTCTTCAAAGCCCTTAAAACTTTGGCAAAGGAACTGCAAATACCCCTTTTGGTTTAAATTAACCACAGCAGGCACACTGGAATTTCCCGGGCTCCAGGAGTGTGGTGCCCTCTTGACGGTGGAGGAGAGAGGATTGCAGCCAAGGCACAGTGCTTTCAATTTCTCCTTACAGTCTCCCCACCTCTCCCCGCTGCTCATGTACTGATGTCCTCATCTTATTTTTTCTGGTTTCTCAGATACTCCGAGTTTGGGGTTTCTCTAAGAAGGCTTTTGCATTAGGCAAGGCATGTTTACAAATTTCCAGCACGATCCGCTTCCTTCCTCGCTGGTCTGAGGTTCTTCCTCCAGAGAGACTGCATGTTGGAACTGTCACTTATTCATAGTAACTTTCTTCTAAGTGAGCAAATGAAGATATGAACAAAGTTTATCCAAAGCCTAGCATGTTCCATTACTGTTATAGCTTATGCCTTTTCTGAATAAGACACAGCTCCCTATGTAGGAACAGTTCAAACAGGAACTGGGGAGACTTTGCGGAGGGGCCAGGGTAGCTGGTGTCTGAGTTACCTTTGTAGCATGCCAGCACAGGCCTTGTTTAACAGGTAAGTTATGTCACCCACAAGAAAAACGAAAGGACTAGTTCTCTGTAAGGGTGGAGGGAAGGGAGTTCTGTTTTGCCAATAAAATGTTAAAAATAGACTCTGCCACGTGTGCATAGCAGCTCTCACATTACTGCTAACCAGATCCAGTGTTGTACATAAACGTTTGTGTTTTGTACAGCCAAACATTTACATCAGAGCCTCGGAATGTGGCAGTTTTGTATATACATGAAGTGCGCTCATCGAGAATGTCAGCTGTGCAGCTCTCCATAGAAGCCGGCCAGACAGGACAGGCTCGGGAGGGAACCAGCCCGTTCTACATCTGGTCTTCCAGTGCATACTGGCCTGACAGAACCTCTGCCCTTCATGAAGTCACATTTCTTCGGCATTTTCTAACAGTGAAATCACTTCAAGAACAATGGCTCCTAACAGGTATCAGCCTTGTTACAGGAGTTTGTACTGAAGTGCTGCAAATCTAGTAATAAACTTGGGCCTCTTCCCTCTTCTGGGAGGGATAAGCCAGGTAAGAATTTTTTTAATCCATAAATTATTTCTATTCTATTAGGCAATTTATAGGCTGCTTTCTATTTGCAAGACTCTCAACTCTTGTTCAGGTTCAGATTCCAACTTCGCGTGTGTGTGGAGCCTCTCCCAGAACAATACTTTCCCCACTCCTCCTCTTGACTGTCAGCTAATTTGTTTCCTCCTCACCCTTTCCCTTGGAACTCAAAGCCCACTGCCATCCACTTGATCCACCTCCGTCACCTGTCACCTTAGGCTGCGTCAGGCCCTGGGTGCTGCAGTGAACAAACCAGGCACCCTGCTCCCTCCCGTCGTGTGCTAATGCAGAGGCTGCTTTAGCACATTGACGTGTCGGGAAAGTGGGCTGGCAGTCATCCCCACACGAGGTGACTCCACCATGCAGCATTGAGCTCGAGAGCGCAGTCCAGAGCTTTCTGTCTGTGACTCGGCCGCGCTGTAAAGCACAGGCGTAGCTGGGAACACTGCCCGCAGGACTGGATCCACCTGACAAGGGAACGGTGAAAGCAGGGTTAGCAACGCTCCTTTGTCCTGTGCCTTTGGTGCAGGACACACCGGTGCTCCTGATGGAGCCAGGCCAGCATCTGACCACATGTACAAGTGACAATGAGAACAGCACCAAGCGCACTGGTCTCTACACAGCACAGTTTGGAAGTCTTAGTACTTCGAGCCAGCAGTTAGCAGGCTCTTTCTCTCAGCGTCCTGCAGGTTGGCTGTGGAAATGCTAACTTCGTGCAGTACTTTTTAGCAATGTGCACTTCAGTGTGCTATAGAGCTCTTAGATATTTGAGTTATCAAAAATTTGTGTGGCCAATTCAGGCTTGGTTTATGGTTCCTTTAATTTGAATTCTGCCTGGTCAATTACTTAAGTTCCAAGAAGTCTGTCCGCTGTTGAGTAGAACATGTAAAACTTGCCACTGGTTCACAGGGGAGCAGAGGCCCTGAGGGGTCCCAAAATAGAGGAGTTTGTAGGCTTGCTCCAGCCCCCTGAGTCTTGAGTTCTCACTAGCTCCCAAGAAGACAGAGCAATAGGAACCAGTTAGGGAGAGGAAACAAGACTTGAGGCTGAGAATTGGGACATCTGCCAAGCAGTGGGCCATGGACTTTTGCCTTGTGAGGAATGAAAGACAGGAAGTGGGTGGCCAGAGGACAAAGATGTAGAGAGGACAGCAAGGTCGCCACTTGCCAGCATTCTGGCCTCTGCATTCTGAGTGCCAGTTGCTCAGCCTTGCCAACAGACGTGTTCCAGGCAGGCCGCCCATCAGCCTTGTAACGAGAGAGTTCCCTCCGCCTGCCTGGGCTTTCTGGGGTGCAGCGAGCTCATGCGTCTAACTTCCAGCCTTTGTAGTTGAACCTTTGCCGTTGGAGACAGTGGAGTTCCTCCCTTCCAGTTGGTGGTGTGGCTTGATTGATTGGGGTTGTTTCCCCAGGTATATAGTGGCACATCCTGTGGCAGCTGTGCCCAACTGTGCGGGCTTCCTGGAGAGGACAGAAACCTGTTTCAAAAGGAGGTGAGGACTTGCTGGTACAGGAAGGAGCCACCCTGGCCTCTAAGATAATGAAGCATTCTACAGATGAGTCACAGTCTTGCCAGCTTGACGGTGTGGAAGTAGTACTGCGCTCCCCCAGGCTGTCAGCAGGTCGGGCCAGAGCTGACGGGGCCACTCCATGTGGCCAGGAGCCCTGGCCCCACGCAGAAGCTCTGCGAATAGAGAAACACCCTCACCCCACCTTCCACTGCCTTGGCCCTTTCAGCTGCCCCGGTGCAGTCAGGGCCTGCGCCATTGGACACTACCTAGTGGTCTCCCTGCTGCCATCCAACTGTCACCGTGGTCTTCTCTGAGCTGTTTAGCCAAGAGGCCCTCCGTTGCTAATGGGGGCCTGGTGAGTGACGCCCTGGGCTAGGGGGATGGGAAGAACTGACAGAACCTGCTGCCACATTGGATGCAGAGGGTGGGTACTCAAAGATGAGGCCATGGCTTTTGACCTGAACAATTAATTGGCAAAACTGAGATAAAAAATTGAGGAGGAGGAGAGTTCTATTTTAGCCAGTAGAGCAGCTAAAGCTCAAAAATTTGTTATGTCTGAAGCATAGAAATGGTGTTTAAAGCCTTGGGGAATATACAGGATGATCTCAACAGTGAGAGGGAGGAGAATTGCTCCCCCGATGCTCTGTGTGTTGAGGCAGCTGTCAGCATTTATCCCCCATACAGCCACGTCTGACCTTGGGTTAGTGACAGCCCCTCTGAGCATTAGTTGCTTAATCTGGAATGGGGGTAAAGGTGCCTTTTTAAAGTATTAAGTGAGTATTAGGCACTATTCAGGCTCACTGAGTTTTCATGTACTCCCTGCACAATTTACCAGTCTTCGTGCAGTTAGAATACAATTAAAATCAGCCTTAAACAGATACATACAGCTTCATTATTCAAATGAGCACGCTTCTGTACTATTTCCAGTGCATCACTGAAGAAACTAGTTATCTTTCCACTGCTGAGGGCTGAAGGGAGGGCTGCCACTTGAATCCTAGTCCAGGCTTCCAGAGTGAGCAGATTCTGCTCCTGTGGATAATGGGAACTTTACCATAAGCCTAGGCCAGTCCAGGGTCTTGACATTTTCCTCTACACGCTGAAGGACTTGGCACAATGCGGGGATGATGGGTGAGCCCTTGTACAGGTTTCCCATGTCTGAGTGTCCTGGGATGTCAGGGCAGCCCCTCCACTGCCACAGCTCCTCTGGAGAATGACCCAGCCGGTGTGCCTCGCCCTGGAA